ATTCCCAGAATTCCCCAGCTTGACTTGACCGCCACTGAATGGGAAGATTTGTGGACTTCCACTCCCAGGATTCCCCTATTGTGTCAACACTGCTAACATCGGATGTTTCTGCTTTGACCACATATGGAGATGCAGCCATTTTCCTTCTTGTGTTTTACTCTTAGAATTAGAGTTAGAATTAGATGATACTGGGGGGGGGGAAGGAGGAATGTGCATGGGAGTTTAGTTGGACATAACAATACTGTAACCAGTGTGAGAATCAAGGTTTTTGAAATAAGAGATGATAAGAATTGGCGGGCTGGAGAACTGGAGGGAGAGTCTGCATTTCAAACTAATTGGAGAATGTGATTTATGACTGCAAATTAGAGGACGGAATTGTGCTTTGACACTATGTGCTCAGGGGAGGGGAATTCAGATTTTGGCTTTGACTATGTACGTGTGGATGCTATGCTCCTTGAATAAAGATTCTTTAAGGTAAACCTCAAAGTTCTTTGAAGAGTTTCATCCGTCGGAACCATGACAATTGAACTTTAGCTCCTCTAATTCCACAACCAGCATGCTATTGAACTTTAGGATGGGCGGACTTCAACTTCCAGAATTCCCTAGTCAACCATGCTGGCTAGGGAATTCTGGGAGTTGAAGTCCACGCATCTTGAAGTTGTCTTTAAGTGTCCCACAATCCTCTGACGAGCCAAGTCATTGGGGAAGCCAGCGAAGTGGTTTCTTGTGGCCCGCAAAGCCATCCTGGAAACAGTGAGAGAACGGTCCCTTCTGCCTTGGCCCTGGCCCAGGCCAGCCAGGAGCCAGCCCCTTTTCCAATTCCCGAGGAAGTTTTCAGTTTGTGGGAGCTGTTAATTTGCGGTAAAAATGTCTTTCATTTTACTGAACATCAAGAGAGAAAGTCTGAACTTCTCTCGCCCTTTTCCTTCTTCTTCTTCTTTTTAATAAATACACACTATGGGGAACAAGAGTTGATTTAGTTCTGTGGCTTTGCCCGATTATGATGTACCTCAGCCGTTGGGGACAAACAGTGGTAAAGTATGCGCTAGCTAATGACAGTGCATAAAATATTAGTACTAATAAATAAATAAGGGCAGCTCCCTCATGCTGGGCTCAGTTCCTGGGGAGTTAATAAAAACGTCCATATTGCAGACTATTAATTTCATTTTTTTTTTCCTGAGGGGCAGGAGATGGGAGGCTGATTTGTGATCTGTTTTGATCAGCAAAGCTTCTGGCAGGTGATTTGTCTCGTAAAATGATACTTGAGATCCTTTAAAAGGAGCTGTTTTGAGATGGGAGGGAGAGCTCAACCCCCTCCTCCCAGGATGACCATCACAATTGTTTGATTAAAGCCCTTTGTATGTGTGCAAACTTCCATACTGGTATAAAATAATTAAGAATGGAATGGAATGGAATGGAGTGGAGTGGAGTGGAGTGGAGTGGAGTAGAGTAGAGTAGAGTAGAGTAGAGTAGAGTAGAGTAGAGTAGAGTAGAGTAGAGTAGAGTAGAGTAGAATCTGTAAGGGATCTTGGAAGTCTTCTAGTCCAGCCCCCCACTCAAGCAGGAGAACCTACCATTTCAGACAAGTGACTGTCTAGCCCAGGGGTAGGCAACCTTGGCTCTTTTATGACTCGTGGACTTCAACTCCCAGAATTCCTGAGCCGGCCACGCTGAGGGGAAAGGGAGAGGTTTCCAAGCTGAGCCATGCTGGCTCAGGAATACTGGAAGTTGAAATCCACGAGTCATAAAAGAGCCAAGGTTGCCTACCCCTGGTCTAGTCTCTCCTTAAACATCTCCAGTGATGGAACGCCCACGATTTCTGAAGGGATGATGTGTCGTAGGCTGTACGGATAACCTTAAAGAACAGGAGGAAGAGACAGAACTGGGATAAGTTAGATAAAAGAAATTTGAGTCTAGTTCCAGAAATGGAATTTTGAGAAATCCCTCAAGAAACCCTGCCTAGTTTCCTTGGAGATAAAAGGGGAGGGGGCAAGCATATTCAGTCTTGCAAGTTCTTGTTACTGACACTCGAGAATAAAAATAGTAATAGCTTTATAACTTTAGGTTTCCTAGTTTGGTCTACGTTGAAGTGTTGACAAGATTGGATCTCCAATGTGTAATTGCAACCGCCATCTTGATTTTTTACCCTCCTCACAGAGACCCTTAGCTATTCCATGCAAGAATTTACAAAGACCCTGAAGGTCCTCCCAAATTTTTCTTCCACATTATCCTTGGGAAAAGTGGTGCTTTGGTGCTCAGCTGAACCAAGCTAAATATAAAATATTAAGGATGACCATTCAACCAAGTCAAAAGCCTTTTTTGAACCCATGGCATTCCAAATGCTGATGTGTAGGCTGGCCAATGCAAATTAATACACCCCATTTATACCCCAGGTATCTAAAGTGCTTAGGAAATGTGTATTCCTCTTTATTTTACCTTTGTTACAAGTTTTTTGAAAAGTTTAAATGTCGATCTTATCTACTTGAAGGCCAGAACCTCTGTAGGGCTTCAGACAGTAACCTTTCCCCGCCCCCCAATATCTGAGGCTTGACCCTTTGTATCTGGAGACAACTGGACGTGGGTTTGCAGTCTTTTGCAAGACATAGCAGTGTTTACTTTTATAAAATCTTTCCCAAATTCTTATACCAAATTTAATAATTAGTCTGTCTAACCCAGCACTCCCCAACCCTTGCAGCTTGGCATCCCGACTGGGGTGGGGGGAAGAGAACTGGGCCCCATAAGTGGCGGGCCAGTGAACGTGCATGCGCAGCTCCACTCACACAACAGAGCAGCTTTGAGGCACTACTCACACAAGTGGAGACGCACGTGCGCTGGCCTGCCACTCATGCAGCCCGGTTGCAAATAGGCCACGACCCGGTTGTGGGCCACAGTCGACAGGTTGGGGACCCCTGGTCCAACCATATCTCAAGCCTTTCCTTACTAGCCACTCTCTGGATGTGTTGGGTATAGAACCATGAATCATTTCCAGCACATTGGTCGGGGTTGATGTGAATTGTAATCCCACTCCAGGTCAGACCTAATTAATACAAATTTGTTTAAAAAAAACAAGGATCCAGAGCAAAAGGGTCTAGTTGCAATCTGGGGGCAGAGAGCCATCTAGTGGCACTAAGATGAATTACAGGCAGCGAACTTGGTCCAGTTAATGAGAAGCTGGATCGCCCCCCCCCCAACTAGCAGATTTTTATTTAAAAACTTTGTTAGATCACAACGATCATTTCGTTTTATTCCAGATTGCCAAACTTTTACGGGAGCCCCATGTTCTAACTGACAAGGCTTCGCTGAAACGGGATGAAGAGGAGGGTCGAGACGGTTTGAATAGAAAATGAATCCCACGGGAAAATGACCCGGAGAAATACACAACAGCCTTCCTTAGGACCGTATTTCATCCCTCCCATTTCCACACGTACCTAAGCTGTGGCTCAAATAAAATCAAAACGATAGGTGGTCCTTAACTTACGACCATGATTGAGTGCAAATTTTCTGCCGCTAAGCGAGGCAGTTGTGCCACAGCAGTTGAGTGGATCACTGCAGTTGTTATATAACACGGTTGTTAAGTGAATCCAGCCTCCCCCATTGACTTTGCTTGTCAGAAGGTCGCAAAAGCGGATCGCGTGACCCCGGAACACGGTGACTGTCATGACTCGGTTGCCAAGCAGCTGAATTTCGACCACGGGGAAGACTGCAACGGTTATTAAGTGTGAAAAGCGGTCGTTAAGTCCCTTTTATAGTGCCGTTGTAACTTCGGTCACTAAATGAACTCTTGTTAAGTCGAGGACTTCTCGTAAAAAAAGCCCCCGTACTTTTCACAAACCCTAACCCAAACACAAAGAAATAAAACCGAGAGCCGAGACAACGAAGTTACATCTTCATTATGGAGTGTTGAGTGGTTTTGGTTTTTTTTTTCCTTTTCTTTTAATGCAGCTTAATCTCACAGTTGGCAGCATAATATGAGCATAAAGACATGACTGGGAAGGGATTCTGGAGGCAGCATGCAATCACGGTTTGAAGCAAGAACTAAACAAAACCCATCCAAACCCCCTTCCTGGGGTAGGTCTGCTTTTCCGGAGAACAAAACTCCGCCTCGGTTTGGTCAGGACCCGATTCAGATAAAGCAGACTATCCCGTGCACGCAGATGTTTCTTCTTCTTCTTCTTTTTTTTTTTAAAAAAACCCCATTTTATTCATTACATGAAAAAATAAGACTCGTAACTTGAGTTTAAAACCCAGCGAAACAGCGGGTTTCTGGTGCAGTTTGAAATCGTTAATAGTTTTTTCTTTAAAAAAAAACAAAAACCCTGAAACTTTTTTTAAAAAAAGGAACAAAAACCAATTATCTTTTTTTTTTAAAGGAAAAAAAAAAGTGTCTTCGGAAGGAAGAGGACACCGGATCGTGAATTCCAGCACTCGGGGGCCTTTTTTGAGAAAGTTAAGAAAGTCACTCTCTTTCCCCAAGAAAATTTGCGCCTTTAATAGCTGTCCTACCACGGTTTGTTTTTCTGGGTTTGTAGTTTTTTTTGGCATGGTCCGCCCTTCTTAGGTTTCCCTACGAAACGAGAACATGTACGTGTTTGGTTCCAGAGGGAGGCTGAAAAAGGTGTGGGGGGGGGGGGAAAGAGGGAGGGGAGGATGAATTAAAGGAAAAGGGAGGGGGGGAAAATCCACGAGAAGAAAGAAGGACTCAAAAACGTTGAAGAACGTGCAACTAAAATATGGTATGATTGCCCCTTTGCGGTGAAACGGATTTGTTTAAAGGACAGGAAGGGGAAGTGAGCATCTCCATGTTCGTTCCTACATGGGCATCTTCGGGTGATTCAGCTGAGAAAGAGACTCGGGAGAAGGGAGCCAGGCTCCCCACCTACCCATCGGGCCTCTGGAGAGAGGTCCAACGTCCGTACGTTTCTCTAAGTACAGTGGAGAAATTTGGAAAATTCCTGGAAAAAACAAACAACCTGCTTCGCTCGGGTGTGTGTGTGTGTGGGGGGGAGGTTTCTTCACCCAGCCTCACCCCTGAGGTCTGTGCCCCGGGGAGAAGGCAGGGAGGGTGTGTCCAAAGAGAAGCCCCGCCCTCCAGTCGGCTTCACAGGTAGAGCTCGTTGGCTTTGATATGCTCTAGCTGTTCCCGTAATTGGTGGAAGGACGGCCGGTGGACGGGATCCAAAGTCCAGCATTTTTTCATCACCTCGTAGACAATCTGGGGGCAGCCATCTGGAGAGTCCATCTTGTACCCCTTTTCCACACGAGGGACCACGTCCTTCAGAGGCTGCAGGGGAGGGGGGAAAGGGGGGGGAAAGCAATGCTTTTAAGGACAGCGTCGACCCACACATGCAAGGTTCATTGTTTTCTGCCTATAATGCAGGAATCTCCCGAGACTGGCGGCTTTTGCACGGGAACGACCAGATAAGCTGGTGGTCAGGGGCAAAAAAACTGTGGGACCCTCCAGCCTTTCACTTACAATTCTCGGATAAGGCACTCGCCCAAAAGAATAGATTTCCCAGAGAAGAATTCCAAAACTCCATACGTCTGATTTGGTTGAAAATTTCTGCCAAGGTTAGAAGAAGACACACACAAATAGACATTGTCAAAAGACCTGGTCAGATATTCCACCACCAAAGTAAGAGGCACTCTTCAGCTTTTAGCCTCCTTTGTAGAGAACCAATTATCAAATCATAGAATCCTAGGGCTGGAAGGGACCTTGGGGGTCTTCTAGTTCACCCCCCCTGCCTAAGACAGAAGTTCTTATACCATCCTGGACAAACGGTCATCCAATCTCTTCTTGAAAACCTCCAGTGATGGGAGGAAGGCTGTTCCACTGGTTAATCATTCTCACTGCCAGGAAATTCCTCCTTAGTTCCAGATTGGATCTCCTTCGGAGGCGCTTCCACCCATCGCTTCTTGTCCTACCCTCAAATGCTTTGGAGAATAAGCCCATCCATCTTCCCTGTGACAGCCCCTCAAGTATTGGAAGACAGCTGTCATGTCTCCCCTAATCCTAGTTCCCTTAGCAGTACATCATACGATTTAGACCCCAGATCCCTGATCATCTTTGCTTGGGCTTGATGTTTGCTTGGGGTTAAAGCCACCAAACCCACTAGCACTTGGGCATCCAGCCCCATTACTTGTCCTATGGGAAAGGACTCTACCTTTGCTACAGGGTGGCCTATATTGGGCTTGTTGTGGCTCCGTCCTGTGGGTCCCTCTCATCAGAGGAGGAAGGCTCTGAACATGAAGGAGAGGAGATGGCCAGGCCTCCCTCTCCAGGACCTTCCCCTCTGGTGCGGCCTTCGGTGCCTTCCGCCGAAGAGGAGATTGGCCAGGAGCCCGGTGCTTCTGGGATTGGCCAGGAGCCCGGTGCTTCTGGGATTGGCCAGGAGCCAGGTGTATCAGACTCCGAAGAGGATACGTCTTGGCTGGATCCACGCCAGCGTCGGAGGGACAAGCGTGCGCAGCAGCTGAAACGCCGTGCCAGAGATTTCAGCTGAGTCACTGGGCCACACCCCACTGGCTATATAAGCAAGGGGTGTGCCGTTTGAAACTTTTGTGACGAACAATTTTGCTGAATCTCCTGTTGCAGCACTCTGGCAATTTATCCTGGACTTATCGTATGTTTGTATTGTGTTATCAGTAAAAGCCTTGGCAGGCAGCCACGGAGTTGCTGCCAAGTGTTCATCTGTATTTGGCTGTGCTGAGCAGTTTCTCAGCCCTCGGCTGACTGGTTGGGGGGTGTGAGTCGGACGGGGGACAGAACAGGGCTATATGAGATGGATACATCCAACCTGGGACTCTACAGCCTTAAGCCACTGAACCTGATCAAAGCCGCAGGAGGAAAAGGACTTCAACTTTACAGGAAGAACCAAACACGGTGTCCTCGTGGACCTTATCAAGTCCCACCTGGCTCAGCCATGGGTTAGCCATCACCCATTCGCAGGTCCCCACTCACCTTTTCTCTAAGTGCTTCTGGTGCTGTCCATTTCACCGGGAGCTTGCCGGTGTCCTGGGTGGACGAAGCTTCCTTTGTCAGTCCAAAGTCACTGACTTTGGCAATGTTGTCCTCCGAGACCAACACGTTCCTCGCTGCCAAGTCCCGGTGAACGAAATTGTTGGCTTCCAAGTACGCCATGGCTTCGCAGACATCTCTAGGGGCAAAGAGCAAGCGAGGAGTTAGGTTCAAGACGGGGGGGGAGGATGCCACCACAAGGCCCCTAAGAAACCACCCCCTTTCAATCATGAGCTTCAACAATCCTTTTTTTTCTAGAAACAGCCCCCCACACACAGACACACACAAGCATTTTCTTCATGAAAAGGCAACAGAAGGATATACTTACAAGGAAAATTTCAGCAAGCACTCGCCTCCCAGCACAGACCTTCCTCGGGAGCGGAGATAATCGACTAGACTTCCCTGCCAGAAGATTTGAGAGAAAGTTGTCAACGCTGCTAACACTGGATGTTCTTGCTTTGACAACAGATGGAGATGCAGCCATTTTCCTTTACTTTGTTTTACTCTTAGAATTAGAGTTAGAAATAGATGATACTGGGGGGGGGGGAGGAATGTGCATGGGATTTTAGTTAGACATAACAATATGGTAAATAGTGTGAGAACCAAGGTTTTTTGAAATAAGAGATGGTAAGAAATGGCGGGTTGAAGAACTGGAGGGAAAGCCTGCATTTCAAACTAATTGGAGAATGTGATTTATGACTGTTAACTAGAGGGGGGAATTGTGCTTTGATACTATGTGCTCAGGGGAGGGGAATTCAGATTTTGGCTATGTATGTGCCGATGCTATGCTACTCAAATAAAGATTCTTTAATGTAAACAATGCCTCGAAGTTCTTTGAAGAGTTTCATCTGTCGGAACCATGACATAAGGATTAAGTTTGCAAGAAGTGACAAGACAGCCCATCTGAAACCCAAAGGAATTAATCTTCTAGAATCTAGAAAGTGATATGGAAAAGTGTTTTTCCCCTATTTTTAATAATATTGGATGCAGTGTGTTAGCTTTTTTGGTCTTCTGAATTTTTTTAACTTTGACTTTCTTTTTGAACCTGTAAATGTTAACCATCTTCTTAATTCTGTTTTAAACTCTGCTTTTAGTCATGTGTTCAGAGTGTTTTATTATGTTTTTGTAAACTGCCCAGAGTCAGTTAGGTGGAATGGGCGGTGTAGAAATTAAATAGATGATAGATAGATAGATAGATAGATAGATAGATAGATAGATAGATAGATAGACAGACAGACAGACAGACAGACAGACAGACAGACAGACAGACAGGCAAAAAGATAGATGATAGATAGATAGATAGATAGATAGATAGATAGATAGATAGATAGATAGATAGATAGATGGATGGATGGATGGATGGATGGATGGATAGATAGAGACAGACAGACAGACAGACAGACAGACAGACAGACAGACAGACAGATGATAGAGATAGATAGATAGATAGATAGATAGATGATAGATAGATAGATAGATAGATAGAGATAAATACATGCATGCATGCATGCATACCCTGAACTCAGTTCGAAGATTTCCTCCAAAATTATCTAAGGCAGTCCAAGAAAACCATCTGATTTCAAATCCCATCATATTTGGAATTAAACTCACCCCCTGACTACTGTACAACCCTATTATATGGGCAAAATTGGTAAAAAGGAGTGGTTGAACAGGAGTGCAGTTAGCGGCACTCCCCAGTAGATGGCACTCTCCTCTTGGTATGGAAGCAAGAACACACAGGCACATAGATTGCACACCCATCCAGGGAAGCAAAGAAAAAACAAATAGGTTTTCAAAACTGGAGCTTATTCCAGCAGTATATAGCATTTAACTGTGGACATTAACGGATGGGCCAGTTCAAGATGAATGGGGAGGGAGGGAGGGAGGGAGGAAGGAAGGAGACATAGGAAAGGAAGAAGGAAGGAGATAATGGAAGGGAGGAAGAAATGGAGGGAAGAAAATAAGATGAAGAGAAGGAAGGAGAAAGACAAAGGAAAAGAAGAAGAAAGGAGATAATGGAAGGGAGAAAGGAAGGGAAGAAAGGAAGATGGAGGAAGAGAGGGAGGAAGGAAAGATGAAAAGAAGGAATAATGTTAACCCTAAGGGTTGCTTGGAAGTGTTACAAGAAATAAAAGAATTCTAGTGAAATAATGCTGATTGCAACACTATATGTGGAAAGGGAAGCAGAAATAACTCCAACTTCTGCTCCAATGCTAGGAAACCGACAAGAGTAGTAGTAGAAGAAGAACAAGAAGATGCTGATCAATCTTTTCTTCTCCAAAGGATTTGGTTCCAAAGACCTTAAAGGCTGAAGATTAATCAACATAAAGACCCAGCTCCTTTGAAAAGGAATGATGCTGGAAAAGATGGAGGGAAAGGGAAGAAGAGGATGACCAGCAGCAAGATGAACGGCGAGGAGAGCATCATTAGAAGACCTGAAGGACCAGATTAAGTCAAAATATCCTGGAGAAAAAAAAACTTTCTATGAGGCGACTAAGAGTCAACAGATGCCCCGTAATCAATGAACCAGCAAAAGATCATCAGAAAGTAGAAGCCAAGTTTAAGGAGACATCCTCTTTGTTGTAGGCCATTCTGCCATGGCTATGTTCTTCATCACCACCCAATTTCCAGACCAACCTTCCCTTGGAAAGGACAGCAAGTTCTTACCTTCGCCATAAATTCTGTGACAATGTAGAGGCCCCCTTTCTCCTCCACGATCACCCCCAACATCTGGACCAAATTGCTATGCCGGAGCTGTCTGCAATGAGATGGACCAGATGGGGAGAAGATCAAAGAGGGGTCAACGAGAGTTTTCCATTTGTTAAGTAAAGGGCTCCATACAAGGGACACCACACCTGCCCCTGGCCTCAAAAGAACAGCCTACTTTCAAACTACGTGGATATGGAGTCCCACCTCAATCTTGCTTGACATGCCTTAAAGCCCCAACCTTGGCAACCTTAAGACTTGTGGACTTCAACTCCCAGAATCCCTCAGCCAACCAAGCTGGCTGAGGAATTCTGGGAGCTGAAGTCCACAAGTCTTAAAGTTGCCAAGGTTGGAGACCCCTGCCTTAAAGAGTTTGTGTCCCAAATGTTTTGAAGGTTGTTTCTCCTAACTTCTCCTGGAGTATAAGAGCAGTTCACAAAAAATCTTCCTTGGATTCTAGTTTATGTGGGAATGTAGAACAGGGCTTTTCAACCAGTGATACGGGTACCACGTGTGGTACATGGGCACCTGGCAGGTGGTACGCGACCATCCTGGAAAAGGGTAGCGGGGGAGGGGAATGAGCTGAACCGGTGGCAGCACCGCACAAGCCTGAGCGAGAGACGGCTGGAGCTGCAGGGCTGTCAGGGCTCAGCGGAAGCGCCAGGATCAGTGCCGCTTTCCAGCTGATCGGCGCTTCTTCGGGGCTGTCAGGGCTCAGCGGAAACGCCAGGATCAGCACCAGGCTCCAGCTGGAGCTCGGCGCTGATCCCGACGCTTCTGCTGAGCCCTGAAGAAGCACCAATCAGCTGGAATGTTGCAGCATCTCCAGGGTCTTGTGATTTACATTCAGATGCTTGGCAACTGATTCATATTTATGACGGTCACAGTGTCCCAGGGTCATGTGAAGTGACCCAAACCTGCTGCAACCACCCAGCAGACGGGGGGAATAAAAACCAAACACCCCCCACCCCACCCCCACTGCCAATCCTCAATAGAAATGCTCACAACAATGAAAACCTCGGACAGGAGGAAGAGCGCCGCCGGGCGGGCAGGCAGGTGTCTTGCTCGGCTGTGGCTTGGGGGCACTTTTTTCAGTGCTATTGTAACTTCGAACAGTCACTAAGCGAACTGTTGTAAGTCGAGGACTACCTGTACTTTATCACTTTTTTCCTCTTTTTTTTTTTGGTCATCAAGTTTTTGACACCTTGCTAGGCGACTGGTGGTACTCGGATGTTGCCATATCCTAAAAGTGGTACAATGGGTGAACAGGTTGAAAAGCCCTGTTCTAGAAGAAGTGGGACTTTTGGGGTGGTGCTCCTAAAGTCTCTTCTCTGGACTCCTGAGCTTGTCTCGTCCTGAATGACAACTCAGGAGCGAGAAAATATATTCTCCACTGCTTTCTAAGCCAAGGCTTCTGCAAGACCTAGGTATTTGCAAGACCGCCTCCTACCAAACACCTCCCTTCGACCAGTCCGCTCCCACAGAGAGGGCCTCCTTAGAGTGCTGTCGGCCAGACAATGCCGGCTGGCGACCCCCAGGGGGAGAGCCTTCTCTGTGGCAGCTCCTGCCCTCTGGAATGACCTACCCCCCGACCTACGTACAGTTGCGGACCTGCGCCT